TTTCAGGGCGATTGCTCCTGCACTTCCCATGGTAACTTCGATTTCAACTCGAAAGACCTTGCATGTTTATTGACTGACCGCTTTCTCTATCACCCTTATTACGGAGAATACCTCTAATCCGTTCAAACTTAATACCATTCATCTGTTGCAATGTTCATGAATTGACATATACCAAGCCTTTCTATTTCACATGAATCCCAAAGCGCGTCAATTGCCACCCACTCAGTGCGCTTCTTTCCTTACTTAAACCACTGGCGTTGGCCTTGAGGTCTATTGCTCCTTCACTTGCCATGATAAATTGGTTTCCGCTTGGAAGACCTTGTTTGTCACTGGTTAACCGCTTTCTTTGTCAATCTTATTATAGAAAATACCTTTGATCCATTCACCCAATACCTTCCATCTGTTTCATTGTTCATGAATTGACATATACCAAGACTTAGTATTTCACATGAATCCTAAAGCATGTTAATTGTTACCAACTCAGTGCGCACACTGTTCTTTCCCGACTTATGCTACTTTGATGTGCTAGCCAGATCCCGTTTTGTGCAATTGGAAACCTGGTGGCAAATTTTGAAGTCATTTCTCACTTGTTTTGCCCAAACAGACTCAGGAAGAAGAAGTAAACAGGACAAAAGGAACAGAGTAAAGGACAATGGAAAGAGATGATTCCTAACAAGAAAAACTACAAGGTAGAAACTTATCAGATGTGGATACCAATTCTAATGACCATGACATGCACATGTGGCCTATTCTATCAAGCAAGTCTGATGTTCAACTCTTGTTATACCCTTAAACCGTGAAACTGGTCTTCAATGCTCCGATTATCCAATCTGATTCATAATCCTTTTCGACTTGCAGTGCCCGAAAGGTTTTCACCATCAAGTCTCTCTCATTTTGTTCTTTTTCTCAACTCCCCATCACCTCATGGTGCCTATAAAGGTTTTCATCAATAAGACTCTCTCATTTTGTTCTTTTCTTCTTATTTCCTCTGATTCTGAAGATGACAAGGCATTACCCATAGTAAAACATTATATGCTCCTGTGTCTAGCTCAGCACTCTCACAGATTATATGCGAGGTCTTTGTTGGACCACAATATTGCTTTGGGACAAGGTTAGAAAGAAAGGGTATCATAAAGGCTCAAAACAACTAAGATAACAGAGTTAATTTATTTACAACTTTTGGAATCCATTTTAATAATCTTTGCCCCAATTCCTACAACAGGGGAATTTGAATATATTTTTCCCTCTTTCTTTTTGGAATTTTCCACTCTCGACTTCGTGGGATTATGAAATATTTTATTTGGTATGACCGAACCGTAAGGCTGCCTATATATCTTGTGGTGACAAGAATCAGGTCAAACGTAGTTCACAAAGATACGTTTTGTTGTTGCTATTTTTCTTTTCTTTTTTTATTATCTCTATTTTTTATCACCTTTTTTTTTGAATTTGCCTTTTGGAATGAACTTTGTAAAATAAACCTATGGGGACATGAATTCTTCTCTTTTTTTTTCGTATGACTCTAACTCGATTCCAAAAGAGGGGAGGTCAAAGAAATTAGTACAAGCTCAAAAGGGTATCAAATGGTATAAGTGTTTGGGTAGCTGAAAGAGGGCCTCTCAATCCCTGAAAATGCCAAGTACAACACATGCAACTTGAAATGAAAATCGAAGATCATGCACAATATTTCTTTTGCGACTTCGGCATTGATATTACTGATATACCTTCCACTTTTCTTTAGCGCCTTGTCAAGTACAGAACCCTCGTTGGGTGATTCCCTTTTCACACTAGTTATCCTCCTCCAATTCGGAGAAAACTTCATTGACTTTATCTTGTAACTTGAGATGCACTTGAAATCAAAGTCGCTTGATTCAAATCGTCCAGGATGCACTATCCTTTAACGAATTCTTGTCACCCTATTAACTTTCCAAATTATCTACCCCAGTTTCACATGGTTCGGGCTTCAAAGGATCTCAAAATGTCCAAATCTATACTTATTTCCCTCAAATGTCCCTATAATCTTCAAAATTGTTTCATTGCTTCATGACTAAACTAACTTTAGAACCAAGCCTAGAATTATGCGTGCATGTCATATCATTAGAGCCAGCATGAGAAGAAAAACTATAAAAGATAAGAGAACTAAAAAAATGGCCAAAAATAATAGAAAATAGGAAATTGCATTAGGCAGACGGTGAGAAGGGTTTGAACAATAAGACAAGCAAAATAAATTAGGGTTCAACCCTGAAACAAACTAGAAAACACTAAACGAGATACTATGACTAAACAAAACTAGAAGCAAATGATTCTCCAATAGGAGTGAAAACCTTTTCTTTTTTCTGTTGTCTTTTCAGTTTGTATTCTGGCCTCGGTTGGAACCTTTTGCAAGCAGGTGGCTGATATGCTTGAGGGGGAGGGTAAGACATTTGGGGAAGTGGTGCGGGCTATTGCGGGCCTCGTGGGTGTGGAGCATATGGTGGTGCATTGTGGATAGGGTACTGGGAAAGTGATGCATGACTTTGGGGGTTCTGTGGAGAGAAGTAGCATTAGGGAGGATCATCTGGTGCACAATGATATCCATGGGGTCAATGTCGAGGCTGAAAGCGTTGAGCAGGAATGCCCAGCGGATCATCTTTTCTATTTCTCTTTCTTTCACCCAAACTTACTGGGATATTCTGAATATCTTCTGTAGTATCTTTCAATGCCGAATAACTCATGATTTTGCCTGACTTGATTCCTTCTTCTACCATCTCCCCCATTTTTAACACATCATTGAAAGGTTTACCCAAGGTCGGAATCAAATGACTGAAGTAGGTGGGTCCCTAAGCTTGTAGGAAAAGCTCAACCATTTCTTATTCACCAATAGGGGGGCTGACTCGAGCAGCTTACTCCCTCCATTTGAGCCCAAACTCCCTAAATCTTTCCTCCGGCTTCTTTTCCATGTTAGATAGGGAGGAGCGGTCTAGGGTAATGCCTATTTTGTATTGAAAGTGTCAAACAAAATCTTGAGCCATGTCGCCCAATGTATGCCATTTAACGATATCTTGATGATTATGCCATTCCAAAGCTGCCCCAGTCATGCTCTTACTGAAATACGTCATCAACAAATCATCTTTCTCGCCAACACTTCTCATTTCACTACAATAAACCCTCAAATGGGCTACCGGATCTCCACACCCATCATACAAGTTAAACTTTGGCACTTTAAACCCCGTGGGCAGGTGAACGTCAAGGAACATACACAATTCTTTGTAAGACAGGTTAATATGGTCTCCCATCCCTTGCATGTTCTTTAAGGACTGTTATATGCTTTTCAGCTTCCTGGATATCTCATCCCACCCTTCTTTTCCTGTTGACCTCTCATTTTCAACATGAAGCTCATTCCGAGGGTTCTGATTGTATGAGTTAGGAACCTTGTGGGCAACCTCTGAGGGGTAATATTGGGCATCATGAGCTTTGAGTGGGTGTTCATTGTTGGGGATAATGGATAATACAGGATGGCAATTTTTGGGAAAGGTAGTTGGAAGATGAATTATGGAGCTACTAGGGTGGTTGGGAAAGCTATGATAAGCGGGTGGATCTGGAGAGTATGGGGGATCATCTGGCACTATTTCCGGAGTTTGGGTAAGGGCAGCATCTAGGAAGCTAGGTGGTGGCGAGGGTGGTGCCTTCCCAGTCATCCAAGCCTGATACATGTCCGCCATGTGTTGTCTTAACATCCTTACCTCTTCAACCAACCCATTGCCCTGTTCAAACAATTGCTTTTGGGCACCACTATCAACCGACTCGATTCTGTTGTCGTCTGCCATTGCCTTTCGACCTTTATGTTGTAGAGAAGAGTTACCACTTTAAGAACTACAAACCAACCACCTTTCTGCTATGAAGATGAAGTCATCACGTTAGCGTTAGGGCATTTAACATAAGATAATCTCACTTTATGTGCAATGCACCTAGCCACAGTTATCGGTTCTAAAATAACTTCGAGGGTACGAAGGTCAGTTGGCATCATCCCAATTTGTTCATTTCAATCCTCTCATTTCTTTGCTTTTTTAGCACTTGCTTGCTCATTTTCCTTCCTCTCTTTTTTTTAGTTATCACTTTTTTCTTTCCTCTCATATCTCACGTCCCACGACTTCATTCTTTCTTTTAATTTCTTTTTTTTCTCTTTTTCTTTTTCTTGATTCCAAAAGAAGCAAAACCCTTTTTTGAATTTTCTAAACTTAATATTCTATAACCTATTTTAAACTCAAGCTTAGCGAGCATATATTTTTTCCTTTTTTTCGACACAAATATACTATGGGAATTATTAAGGAAAAACCCTATAAGAGAAAAATATTTGTGATTCTTTTTTTAGGAAGGAAATCTAAAGAATAAACCAAAGAAAAATATTTCGAATTTTCGTTTGATATCCTGAAAGAAAGATTCCGAACTAAGAAATGAAAAAGATAAAAAAATAAAAAAAAATTAGATTTTAGTTTGATTACCTAAGGGAGAAACCCTGAAGATAACCCAAAGATAAAGTATATCTTTTTTCCTCTATGTACAATGTCCTAAAGTTCTTGTAAAATAAAAAGAATTTTTTTTCATTCATTTTTCATTAATTTCTCAAAGAATAACCTCAAATGAAAATCTTTTTGGATTTTTGGAATTAATATCTTAAAGAAAACTTTTAAAGAGGTACTACAAGGAAATTCTCTTCATTTTTTTGCATTTTTAGTCTTAATATACTAAAAGGAAGTATAAAAGCAATTTTTTTAATTTTGAGTTCTAGATATTAATTCAATAAAGCAAAACCACCTCAAATGATTTTTTTTATTCCTAGAATTAGTATTCTACAGAAAACTTCTAACGGAAATATAAAATGCACCATCTCTTTTTTTGGAATTTTGATTTATAACACACTTTTTTAGATGCAAAATAGAAAATACAATAGTAAATAAAAAATCTCGACATTACTTTACAAAATTAGAAAGTAAAAGACGACATAAAAAATAATAATCTCCTTAAGCAACTCCTAAATGAGCGATCCAGACTGGATGGTCCTGGGGTGTCTATCATGCTCAAACTCCGGTAAGTAGACCCACACCTGTATGAAAAAATTCAAACCAATAAGTTAAAGACCTAAAACGTTATGTGAGACAATAACCCTTCTTGTTGGACACATGACATGATTGAGGCTATTTTTGCAAAATGGCTTATTTGGCCAAAAGGTTGTTAGAAGTGCAAAATTCGGCTCGAAAGACGAGAATCATAGACCGGACCCTATGTGGGTTGCCTACGTATCACGCCTCGAAAGAAGAGAATCAGATATGCGTAGTTCAGGCAGATTGGATACGGGCGAGAATTAAAAAAACAACTAATTTAAAGAAAATATATTTTTTGTCTTTTTGAAAAATGATGCAACATGTAGACTTTTTTTGGATTTTCTTTTCCCTTTTTTATTTTTTTGATTTTTAGAAAATGATGAAAAAGTGCAAAATCTTTTTTTTTTTGAATTTTTCATTTTTTTGTCTTTTTCTTGATAAAAATGTGATAGAAAACATAATCGAGCCTTACTTGCTTTATTTTTCACACTTCATCCTTTTTCTCTTTTTCTTTTCTTTTTCATTTTCCCTCAACTATCATTGGTCCGCCAAATGATCCTTTTACCCTTGAAAATTTGAAGCATGTAGCACATAGGATGCATCAGGATGGTCTTTTATATTTTTAGGTACACCTATCCTAGATGGACANATACAGTTCAGATAATATCAAAGCGGTAAAAAACAACATTTAGCACATTAGGCCCAAACATGTAGTTAAAACCAGATAATAAATAAAAGACAAATATAACAATTATTCTAAGCTCGAATTCTTGAACCTTGAACCAGAGATTCTAGGTTCTAGTCCCCAGCAGAGTCGCTAGAGCTGTCACACCTCCTTTTTCCTAACCCGAAAGGGGGTATAAGGAGTTTTTTCCAATTAAAGTGACAATCGAAACATGATTAATTTATTTAGTCAGAGTCACCACTTGGGATAATTTATGGTGTCCCATGTCACCGGTTTAGAATCCCGAATCGAGGAAAGATTGACTCTGTTCTATAGTCCACGAACACAGAAATCCGGGTAAAGAATTTTGTTAACCCGGAAGAAGGTGTTAGGCATTCTCGGATTTCGTGATTTTAGCACGGTCGCTCAACTATTATTATTGGCCTATTATCTGATTTTAAAACATCTTTGAATCCTATGTGCATTTTATTCCTTTTAAACTGCTTTTAATAAATTAGTGTTGCATATTGCGGATCATTTCACGGGAACCGTACCCACGATCTACAACATATTTATTTTATTAACAAAATTAAATTGTGGCCAGGTCACATAAATGTACCACCGGATTTTAGAAATTAAGCATCACAACTACGTCACGAGAACCGTACCCGTAGCCATGACAATTATTTAATTAACGCGCCTAAAGCAAACTACGAAAGTTCAAGGCATTTTTGTTTACTAATTTTGTATTTATGTGAGGGCCATATGTTATGGACTTTACTTGCGTATGGCACACCTCAATTTATTTTAAAGGAAAAGATTTGCATTTTGCTAAGGCAAACCAAAAATACTCCTACTTATATCTAATTTAAAAACCAAATATCACAACTACGTCACGGGAACCGTAGTCGTAGTCGTAATAGTTTAATTACATATATAAAGCAAACTACGAGATTCATTTTAGTAGCTAAGTTATAAAATATGAAGGCCATAGATTATATGACTCAAATGTATGAATGGCACGCCTCAAAACTATTCAACTAAATGAACTAGGATATTCATATTTGGAGCTAATACGAAATTAATCACTGCAACTACGTCACGGGAACTGTACCCATAGTCGTGATATTTTAATTACGGGCCTAAAGTAAGCTACGAATGTTTATAATTACAATAAAATAATTAATGAAAATAACAATCAAGGCTCATTCATTCATGAGAATTAACAGTTTCATAATTCATTCACCACTTAGATTCACGCTTCATCATCCAATCACAGAAGTTTGGAGATTATGTCATCAAAGCATGCTAAAGGAGGAGCCCGAAATAGAGAGTTGGAAAATGGAAGAAAATATGTCAAAAAGAATTTTTTGCAACTAAAGAATTTCAGTTATTACCATTCTAGTACATAGAAATATATATTAACAAGCATACACGAAAGATACAGGAACGAAAAAAATTTAACTGTAAGAGCTACTGGTTATTGCTAAAAATAGAAGTTCCCATTTTAAGTATGTGTATAATTTTGATATATCTAACAGAGTAAGTAGGTTTATTTAATTTTTTTATTTTATTGGTAAAGGTGTTTTATTAATGTGTAGCAAGGGACTGCAGAATATTACAGAGAAAAGCTACATTACAAATTATGCAATGAGCTAAAAATTTCAATCAGTTGACCATCGTGATCCTCATCTCATTAGTGCTTTAGCAATTCATCAACAATCCAAACATCAATAAAACAAGCTATTACACTAACAATAACAATGTAAATGGACAAAATAATCAGCCGAGAAGATGCGAAGAACGGACCTTTGGTATGAATCAACCAAAATGGTAATTACAAGAGGTTAAAAATAACTCGACGATTCTTGACCAGAGCTTTCGCCAGCGAATCTGGACGGAGCCGGAAACAATTACAGCTGAAAATCTACACAAATTAGAGCGAAATCAGTAAAATCGAACCAGAATTTCGACTTAAGCTGCAACAGCAATCCCGGGGAGAAACTCCAATCGGCTCAGTCGAACTCCATTGGTTTTCGTTTCTTTTCAGATTTTGACCCAAAGACCTCTCCAAATTTTTTGTTCTTCTCTTCACTGTGTTTGTCCGTGTGTGCTTATGTGTTATTGGTGGTCGCTGGTTTCAGGAGGGTCTGTCTGACAAGTTCGCCGCTGGTGGGGAGAAGAGGGGTGAAGGGTCGTTTTGGGGGTGGAGTTTAGGTGCAACGGTCGCTGGCTGCTGTGGAGAAATCAGAAATGACTGGCCTAAGGTCCCTTGTTCATGGCTGCTCTAAGTCCTCTCCAGAAGAAGACGATGTGGGGGTGGGGGGTCTTGTGTATTTACGGCGCTGATGGTTATCTCCCCCTAGCTCATTTAGGTGTTACTCTATATGTAGAGTTCAGGTTTAGGTTATTTGTTGTATTTTCATCTTATTGCTCTTAGGTCCTTAGGGTATTTTTATTTATTTTTTGTTCCAAAAAAGAGTCTAGAAGGGTCCCTAGGGTTAGCTTAATGGGTGTTGGGTATTGGGCTTAATGGGCTAATCCGAATTGGGCCTAAAAATGGGGCGTTTGAACCCAAATTTTATTCTTTCTCTGCGAACGAGCCTAAAAATAAGATCTCATTTATTAATTAATTCTACTTAAGTAAAATAATCATTAAAATAAGACTGGCCGTTAAAACAAAACTAATTTTGATATTTTTCAAGATTAAAAATGACTACAAAATATTAATGAACCTATTTTTTGTAATTTTCATTTTCTTGTAATAAAATAAAGTAAAAGAGTCAAAATTAGTTGAAATGGCGATATTAGACCTAAATTAAATATTTACGTGCTAAAATATGAAAAATCTTGGGAAGGGTCAAAAATCACATGTCTACAAACTTCTCAAGTAAAGAGATCAAGAGGAACACTGTTATATTGTCAATATGAGAATTTCACTATGAAGGAAGGAGAAACTATCCAGGAGATGTACACAAGGTTCACAACACTAACAAATGAACTTAAATCTCTTGGGAGAATTATCCTTGAAGAAGACAAGGTTGAGAAAATCTTGACAAGGGTCTTACCAGTGACTTGGGAAAGCAAAATCACTGCTATTCAGGAATCAAAGAACATTGCTACTCTCAAGTTGGATGAACTAATTGAAAACCTCACTGCCTATGAACTGAGAAGACAAACCATGAAAATGGATGCACCCAAGAAGGAGAGGAGTCTAGATCTCAGAATAGCTGAAGGTGCAGATCTGAAGGATGATGAAATGGCCATGATCACAAGGGATTTCAAAAAGTACCTAATGAGAGGAAAGGGTTCTTCTAGAGGTACAACCTTCAACAAATCAAGGGCTTCTGAGAAACAGACCAACGAGGGTTGCTACAAATGTGGCAAGACTGATCACATGATCAAGAACTGTCCTCGGTGGGAAATTGAATGGAAGAAGGAAAATGTTGAATGAAGGAACAGGAAGAAGGAATAGGTTCAACCCAAAAGGAACAAAGGATCAACAAAGGCTATGGTTGCTGCTTGGGGAGAAACATTAGATGAGGATTCAAAAATGAAGATGGATATAAACAAGCACTTATGGCCATCGGAGAATCAGATGATGAACAATAGGTCCAAGTGAAGGGAAGTAGTTAAATATGGTACATAGATAGTGGCTGCTCAAAACATATGACTTGAAGCAAGAACCAGTTCCTTTCACTTGAGGACTTAAAGGAGGTAATGTCTCCTTTGGAAATGGGAAGAAAGGTGAGATTATTGGGGTTGGAAAGGTAGGTAAGATAGACTCACACTCCATTGATAATGTCTTCTTGATAGATGGCTTGAAATATAGCCTAATCAGTGTATCACAACTGTGTGATAGAGGTAATCTTGTAGCATTTACCTCTACCAAATGCTTTGTGATTAACCTTACCACTGATAAGATTGTTTTGCAGGGAAGAAGTGTTAACAATATTTACTTTGTAGATTTGTCCACTCTTTCAGAAAATGAACTCACTTGCTTGAGTGTGTTGGACAATGATCCCCTCCTGTGGCACAAAAGACTTGGTCATGCAAGTCTGAATCAACTCAACAAATTAGTCTCCAAGGACTTGGTGATAGGGTTACCTAACATTAAGTTCAAGGAAGACAGTTTGTGAGGCCTGTGCAAGGGGAAAGCAGGTAAGATCATCCTTTAAAAGCAAGAAAATGGTAAGCACAACCAGGACGTTGGAACTGGTTCATATGGATCTCTATTGTCTAATGAGAACATTGAGCAGAGGTGGTAAGAAATATGTGATGGTACTTGTTGATGATTATTCTAGGTTTGCATGTGTACTATTCTTAACATCTAAGGATGAAGCATTTGACATGTTTACTGCCTTTGTTAGAAAAACTCAGAAACAACTAGGTAATCAACTTGCATCCATCAGGTCTAGTCATGGAACTGAATTTGAAAATACTAAGTTTGTTGAATTTTGTGATGAGCATAGTATAGATCATAACTTCTCTGCCCTTAGGACTCCTCAACAAAATGGACCAGTTGAAAGAAAGAACAGGACTCTTGAAGATATGGCTAGGACTATGCTTCTTTCTAGTAAATTGCCCCATAGCTTCTGGGCAGAGGCTGTAAACACTGCATGTTATATCATAAACAGATACATGACTAGACCTCTTGTAGAGAAGACTCCCTATAAGTTACTTAAAGGGAGAAAACCAAATATATCCCATCTTAGGGCATTTGGATGCAAGTGCTTTGTGCACAATAATGGAAAGGACTCCCTAAGTAAGTTTGATCCCAGAAGTGATGAGGGAGTATTCTTGGGATATTCTTCACATAGCAAAGCATATAAATTGTTCAATAAAAGAACTTTGTGCGTAGAAGAAAGTGTACATGTAGTGTTTAATTAAACTAACATTCTTTCTAAGAGACAGTAACATGAAGATGAAGCTATTGGGCTGGTAAAAGATTTAAGTGAAGTCTCAGCTCAAGCTAAAGTGGCACCAAAAGAAGGAACAGGTGATGGAATAGGTTCTTCCATCCAGGGCAAGCTGACAAGGGGAATTGATCAAAGAGGAACTGAAACCAATCCCCCAAAGTAACATGTTCATGAAACTGTTGCTCAGCTACAGAACATGGGAAAAACATCAAGCAGAAATCAGTTGATTGTGAAACCTCACAAGTATCAAAGTTCTCATCCCATTGAGAACATAATTATTGATCCAACCTCTGGAGTCAAAATTAGATCACAATTAAAAAATCTGTGTGCTTTTGATGGTTTCCTATCTCGTATTGAACCTAAAATGTCATTGAGGCTTTGCAGGATGCAGATTGGGTAAATGCAATGAAAGATTAACTCAATCAGTTCAAGAGAAGTCAAGTTTGGCATCTAGTTCCAAGACCCAAGGACAGATCAGTGATTGGCACAAAATGGGTCTTCAGAAACAAGCTTGATGAAGATGGAACAACAACAAGAAACAAGGCAAGACTGGTGGTCCAAGGTTACAGCCAAGAGGAGGGTATAGATTATGATGAGACTTTTGCTCCAATTGCAAGACTAGAGGCAATAAGACTTCTCATATCTTTTACAGCACACATGGAATTCACTATTCATCAAATGGATGTCAAAAGTGCCTTCCTGAATGGCTACCTAAAAGAAGAAGTGTTTGTTAAACAACCTCCAGGGTATGAGAGCAAGGAATGTCCAGAACATGTGTACAAATTAGACAAGGCTCTCTATGGACTCAAGCAGGCTCCTAGAGCATGTTATAAACAATTGTCCAAATTCCTGCTTGAACATGGCTACAAAAGAGGTAAAATTCATAGTACTCTATTCTTGAGGGAAAAAGGTAAGGATCTTCTTGTGGTACAAATATATGTTGATGACATAATTTTTGGGGCAACCACTGAGGAACTAATTAAGGATTTTGCAAAGTTAATGGGGGTGAGTTTGAAATGAGTATGATGGGTGAGCTTAACTTTTTCTTAGGCTTACATATCAAACAAAACCCAAATGGAACCATGATCCATCGGCAGAAATATGCAAAGGAATTGATCAAAAAGTTTAAAATGGATGAATCAAAGGAAATAGACACCCCCATTGCAACTGCCACTAAATTAGACATAGATGAACCGGGTTCATCTGTTGATCAAAAGTTTTATAGGGGTATGATTTGTTCACTTTTGTATCTTACTGCCCGCAAACTTGACATAGTTTTCAGTGTAGGGCTTTGTGCTCGCTTTCAGGCTAATCCAAAGGAATCGCAGTTGACTGTTGTTAAGAGGATACTGAGATATTTGAAAGGCACTACTGATATGTGTCTTCGTTACCCTAAAGGTAGTAATTTCAATTTAGTAGGGTATGTCGATGCTGATTATGCAGGTTTCCTTGTGGATAGGAAGAGCACCTCAGGTATGGCTCATTTTCTAGGTTTATGTCTTGTATCATGGGCCACTAAAAAGCAAAATTCAGTGGCATTATCCACTGTTGAGGCTGAATATGTTGTTGTTGCCTCTTGTTGTGCTCAATTGCTATAGATCAAACAGCAGCTGATAGATTTTGGTATGGAAGTTGGTTGTATTCCCATCTTCTGTGATAACACTAGTGCTATAAGTATGACAAAGAACTATGTTCATCATAAGAGGACTAAGCACATAGATGTTAGATACCACTTCTTAAGAGATAACTATGAGAAATGATTGATCTCCATAGAATTATGTGCTACCGATAAACAAATTGCTCATATCTTCACTAAAGCACTGAGTAGAGAAAACTTTGAGAGGAACAGGTTGGAATTAGGGATAATTAAGATCACCTAATAGGACCAACTCAGAATGCACAATGAAAAAAAATTGGCTAGGAAATCTGAACTTGTGTAAATATCTAGATTAATTTTTACTCAGCTTCATACTGTAATTAGTATACTCCTGTGACATGTGTTAATATGACTCACTGATCTCTTACAAATTTTCTCTATTATGGTAAAATAAGGCATGTTCAAGAGAATTCTAAATGAAGAACCTGGTTCATCAGTATGGGTTCATCTGAAAGCTAAGGTATGTTTTCTATACTCTAAATAATTAGAAATATAAATATTTGAATCATGAGTAGAAGTCCTACAATTGTTCAATTCCTTAGAAAATTCTATCTGTTAGCTTTGAAGCAGTTCCGTCAGCCTTAGAACTCTAAACCACAAAAATTGCCTAAAATCTAGGGAAGCCTAACCGATCATTCAAACCTGAAATTTCAGGTTGATTAGACCTCTAATTGACCACTGCTAAAGCTATTGTTATACATTAAATGTGTATTTCTCTTTAAATACACATCATTACCTTCTGCCATCTCCATAATTCTAAACCGTCAAAAATTCTTCTTCACTTTCACTTACCTTCTCCT